GAGTTATGCCGTAACACACATAAAAAAAAAATAAAAAAAAAACATACAGACGAATTGAGTACCTCCTTCTTTTGGGAAGTCGGTCAAAAAAAATGAGTTGCCCATTTGTTCTTCCAGACTATCCTCTACATCTATGTCAAAATTCATCGAAATCCGTTTTACCGTTTAGGCTGCAAACTGAAACAAACATCCATCATACTAAACTTTCGCATTTAGAATATTAGTATGACTAGTATGAATTATTATGATTATCAGACACAAAACAAGCGCCGCTAGCCGGTATAATCAATCGAAAGCGACAAGTTGCGGCAGCGCACGTGTGCGTACTGACAATGTCCCGTCGAGCCCTAGCACCACCAAAGCTGGCCCTTCGCACATACTAATTTAGTCCGTGACTTAGATCCTGAGATAGGATGGTTCTTGATATCGATGAGAATGCCAACTCCAGTGGAAACCTGGCATTAGACCAATGTAATTTTCACTAGTTAAGTATTATTTATCTTTTTTATAAGTGTTTATAATTTTAAATTGAATGACAAAAATTCTGTGCGTTAAGTGGCCGGACAATAATTGTTTCTGAATATGCTTGAAAAAACTTTTAAAATAAAGAAGTTAATGAAAACGAAAAAAATTGTTTAGCTTATATGTAAGAACAAATCAAGAATGTAATTTTAATTGCTTAATCAAGTCAACGTAACTACTCTATTAGTTTTTAGAGACAATCTATACAATCGTTTGTCTCAATAAAGATTAATTAAAACACATTCTTGTAACAATTTCATTGGAAACTCGATCAATTCTTGGACTTCCCTAAAGCTACGCTACAACTAACTACGACACGTTTTAGTAAACTTTTAGTACCGCGTTGGCTCTGGTAAGGGAAAGATGTGTCGTTTATTTCTCTTGAAATGCGCGTGTTTATTTACGAAAATATTATTAAACTTTAAAAGTAAATTTTAATTTCTTGTGTTAATACTATGTGCTTTGGATAATGCGTAGATTTTTAACGTTTATAATTAATTTATTTATATGTTTAATTTGTGTTGGAAAATGTTGACAAAGGATCTTTATTGGAAAAAATGTTGAAAGCGTCCCGTGCGAAGTGGACTTGCTTTGTGTTGCAGTTTTTTGCTATACATTTATTTGTTGCAAAAGGATTAATAGGTAATTACCATCACACAATATTTAAATTAAAAAATAGTGGTTAAAGTTATAATTAAGAATTTTCTTACATTTTTTCGTTTCGTTAAATATATTTTTTCTATCAAAATGTATTTAAAAAAAAACTACCTATTACCCGTAACTCTCGTCTGATAAAATTGGAGGGTCTGTTTGTAATATCAAAAGAAAAATTCCATATTTGGGGAAGATGATGTTTTGTGTTAACGAAAATCGCATATAATTTTTTTTTGTCTGTTTTGCTGTCTGTCCGCAAGCCGAGTTTGTTCCTGGTTATCTCTAAAACGGATGTGCAGATTTTCAATGATAGCTGACATAGACGGGCATGTTATTATGTGCCCATGCCCCAGTGAACGGTGAAGTCGAGGGAACCAGAGGGGGTTTAGTGGGTAGGCTCCACGTTCCTACCCTTTTGGGCAGGAATGTGGAGAGAGTCCCACATACCCTGTGTGTCTTTCCCCAAGGCACCTGGGATGCGTAACGTATTCCCCCTCTTAAAAAAAAAGACGGGCATGTTATACGCAACATTTTTTTCTTAATATTGCGTAGACGCAGTCGCGGGAAACAGCTAGTCTGTGCTAAATTTCAGAGAGATCCAATTAGTCTTTCTGAACTTATATGGTAACAAGCATTCACCCTTTCGCATTTATAATATCAGTAAGACTTATTAATGATTTGCTTCTTAAAGAACCCATCAAAAAATTAATTATTTAGTAATTGGATAAATATGAAGCTACGAGTAGTTTGTTTCAAATTGCTGTAAGTAGGTTGACGAAGGCTTCTCAGGTAATATGTAGAGCGTCGGTTTACCGCATTATAAATACTTTACAACTTCACAGGGACGTTTACTAGAAACGGACGAACAAATTGCATTGTCGTTTATAGGTAGCTTTCGCACACGTCTCTGTCTGGAATTAAAAAAGAACTTTGTTTAAAGCCTATGTGATCTTCCAGACTATGTTCTATATCTGTATCTAATTTTATTGAGACTCGTTAGCAGTTAATATTACAAACTCTACCAATCATCCATTCATCTATACAAACTTTTCCATTTATAATATTGGTGAGATATTAAGGTAGTAGTAGTAGGGGCTACGGTTTCCGCAACTCCACGACTAGCGCGTATTTTGCGTGAGAATAGGACATGGAGATATGGAGATATTAAGGTATTTGCATTCAATATAACGATATTTAAACAGCAGTAATGATTGTTGCTTTTTCATGTGTGTATCTCACGAAACATGTTATAAACAACACAAATGTTTCCTATCCCTGGTCCCCTACCCAAGTACTTGTACAAGATTTAGAGTCACTCTTGTGAATAAAAGTGAGAGTTTAGACACGCCCGGCTGTATCCCGGGGGGCTTTATACAGATCTCAATATGACACGATCCAGGAACACTCCAGGTTTTCACTATCAAGGACATGTACAATCGGGGAATCTGACGGTGTTGTACTTTAAAAGATACAGTCGTTTTAACTTTTTTCCCACATTGAGACAACGGTGAGTTTTTAAATGTCTAAGAAAGATTGGGTGCACTGCTAATTGCTTTTTAATTGTAAGGAATAAGGCAAGTTTTCTCTAAGTTTTACATCGCGAGATTTCGCCACTGTATAAAAGTGTCATCAAATAAGAATACAAGTGGCCGAATTCTGAAAGGAATTTCAAATAATGTTCAAACGTAGCTTACAATCTGTCAGACGTCAATAATTTAATATCACACTTATAATGTTAGTAAGATAATTTGTAGCGGCCTTAGCGTTTAACACGCTGTTACAAAATACATCATCTTAATATTTAGCCAGAAACAATTGAAACTAAAAATTAAAAATTAAAAGTTTAAAATGTATTTTAGTGGAAAGCAAAATTTAACAGATTACTGTTAAAAGCTATTGGACTTTTTAATAAAAAGTAAAAGCATGTAAACTCTCTAAAACTTACTTTACACTGAGATGCATTTTTCCACCTTACTTATTTCATCACCGATGTGATAAAATCTATAATTATACTGGTGTTATACTGATCTTAATGAGACGTAATACACGAGCACACGTCTATCGTAACTTATGCTGGGTTTCTGAAATTTCCACTTCTTTTGTCATTACCTATCGACTCATTAATACTAGGTTCACCTATTTTCAACGGATTAAAACTCTAGTTACGTATGTAGTTCGGTATCGCATTTCATGAATTTATCGAACCAAAAACTAAGGAATGATTCAACATAGCTGGGAAACCGGCTATTAATACAAACAATAGTTACAGGTGTCGCTTCTAAATAACAATTTTAATAACTCAAATATCAGACAAATTATCACCCCCTGTCATAAATTCTAATAAAATTCTGTAGATGATTATTTCGTATAGCTATTGCATCACTAAAAGGGCCATTTTTTCTATAAATGTAAGGGGAAATAATGTGTTATTAGAATGGCCGCGTAGTTGAGGATTTTCTATTGTGTGTATTGAATAGTTTCTCAACACAGATGTGCGGTTTTAGTTGAATTTGATACCGTTACATGTATACGCATAATTTACTGCATTTTGTTTACAGAGCGAAATCTCTGATTTATCAAACTGATCTTTCTAGTCGCATCTAGTAAAAACATCTTTGTATAATATAATAAAATTGAAGTGTCTGTTTGTAATATCAAAAGAAAAATTCCAGATTTTGGAAAGATGCTATATTTGCGTTGCTAAAAACGAAAATCGCATTTATAATTTATTCGTCTGTCTATCTGTTCGTCCACAAGCCACGTTTGTTCTGGGCAATCTTCGCAACGGCTGGGCCGATTTCAGCCGGACTTTCACTTATAGGCTAATTTTTTATCTTAATATTGTGTGGACGAAGTCGTGGGCAACAGCTAGTTTTAAAAATAAAATTATACTTTATAACACACTCTTACGTAAAGTTCAATGACTTAAATTATGAAAGGTTTCACGCCTACCAATTTGTTAGCTGCCATTCAAAAATTATGTTTTTAAACCATTGCCCACCGTTACCTAAAATGCCTATAAAAAGCACACGTCGTTAATCATAACTACACAACGCTAGAGTAACCGCCCATTGGGGGTCACTTCACAGTTTTTGATTAATTATGTTAAGTTTTATGGTAAGAGCTTTTGAATAAACATATGTTAACTTATCGTAACTTATGTTAATGGTTATTTTATGTTTGTTTTAATTTTCATTTGAGGTTATCTTTTTGGATATCGATTGGTATCTTATTGACATTGATTTGTTACAGACTTTTTTGAACAGTTTTTTTTTTAATGCTAATATTAAAGGGGAAGGTATGTTTGTTTATTTGTTTGCATTGTAAAGACTTTTAAATTATGCAGACGAAGCTGGAGCGGATCGCTAGTTTAATCTTACTTTTACTAATGCTATAAATGCGAAAGTTTAGATAGATGGATGTTTGTTAGAGTTTGTAGCCTAAACTGCTGAACGGATCTCGATGAAACTTGGCATAGATTTAGAGGATAGTCTGGAAGAACACATAGGCTACTCACTTTTGTCTTTTTCTAATTCTACGCGGACAAAATCGCAGGCAAAAGCTAGCATACATATACAATTCGTTGTACGAATTCATTTGTTTTAAAAAACAAAACAACGTAGATGTTTGCAATTATAAAGTAAAATCTCCCAGTCAGCGATCTTCGGTGAGTATTGGCCTCACTTGAGCGCGTTCCGACTCTTGACAAAATGTTGACAACCGCTTCACAACTTGTCCTTGTGCAGATTCTTTTGCACTTTAGCAAATTGACAATTTTTAAAACTTTAGCTTTGTAAATATAGAAGATATAATTGACACGTTCGATGCTACGGTCACGCCTAGCGAGTTCACTTTCTTAAGTAAATTGTTGTTGGTATTGATTGTGTTAAAAATCTTATATCAATAGAACTTCTTTATTAATATAGCGCCAATAGCCTAATGGCTTGGAGTGCAGACTACCGATCTTGCGGTCGAGGGTTCGAATCTCGCCATTCGAGTATGGTCGTGAACCATATCCTAGCACAAGCCTAGAGCTTAGTTGAAATAGTTAAAGGAAATTTTAGTAAATTAACAAAAATCTACCAATATTAAAAAAAATATTAGACATTATTGATGGATAATTTCCAGAAACAGTTTTTTTAATCTTTACAATTAAATTGGTTAAATCAAATAAATCTTAGTAAATAAAAAGAAATCTATGTTATTTACCTATGTAATATTTTGTTTATCGTGCCGAGAAATCGTTTTATTTATTAAAATGATGAAAATGTGGGTCAGGTGTAGATGAAAGTTTCCACATCACCACACGACACGAGCACACGATACTTCACAGTTAAAAAATTATTTTTTGTTTTTATTTTATTATTTATTTGAATGAATTTATTTCTGATGCGTATAAAAGAACAAGTGCTTTTATTCGCGTAATACAAAAAAACTTTTTTAATAAGTAGCCATAGTGAATTTCAATTACCGTTACATTACCAAAAAATTGTAAAATTGGGACTAACTACGGAACTTTTTGTCATGTTGTCCCTTAGTTTTATTTGCAGAAATTAATACTAAGCATCTTTTTAAGCAACCATTAAATAACTCTGATTATGGTACAGAGACAATGGATACGTGCCTACACGGAGTAGATGCACCCTTGATTTAGATAGGGCTGAACCCCTCTAAGAACACTTATGTATTTGTAAGGCGAATTGATTTTCTCGTATTCCCTCTAAAAAGCGAGCTATCTTGTGATGAGTATATTGTTTCACGATTGCATAGTTTAAAACGTTCTTTGGCTTTTTTAGTATGGTTAAAAAATATAGTGTCTTTATTTTGGTAATATATTAAATTGCGACTTTAATTTTGACATTATTTTGCGTATTTACTTAATTTATGATTCGTTTTGAGAATAAACAATTATATTGTAAATTTAGAAACTAAAAAATAACCTTTTTTTATTACTCTTTGCATCAAAACTTTTTCCTTATTGATAGTTCTTCATGTAATTTCACACTTCGCGTCAAACCTTGTGCAACTATTTGTTCCCTTTTTATTTGCATTGCTGTCAATAAACACATGCTCTTGGGCTGCTGCGAAAGCCCTTCAAACACCAGAGATGCAGTCCCCGAGTTTAAACGGAATTAATAGAAAATGGACTCTACTTCCTTAGATTAGGGCTTAAAATTGTTTATTCCATAATATTCGCTAATACCCAGGATTAGCTGGGATAGACCATTTTAATCGGAACTATGATTTTCCCAACATTCTGAGTTAAGGACTTTGACAGGGTAGGTCAATGGTGGCTGGTGATTATCGACAAAAGGAATTTTGTTATGACCGGTTGCCATGGTAATATTTGGGTTAAATTGCAAATACAACGGAGCTGTATTAAGGTATTTGAAGTATACCGTGCGAGAAAAGGATAGAGATATTTGAGAACACGAATGAACATTACGTAGATTTTGAATCGTTCTTTTCCTTTGAAAACTCTTACGTATGAAGCATCAATATTTTTTTAAGATGTTTAGTTAAAACTTATATATTGAAAATGGTGTGTAATAAAAGTGGTTTTTACAAATTTAATTTATCTATGAAATGCGGCGGTTAAAACACTTTTATGAATTAACTTTGACACAAAACATGCGACAATATTCTATGCATGAACAATAAAGTCCGTGCGGGAATGCGAGCCTTTTCAATTTAAATACTAGGAGGAATTGCTTTCTTTAACTGTCACGAAATATTTACGAGCTTAATCCTAACAAAGGGTGTAATTGCAAAGTTCTTTGAAATATGATTTTCAATCAAAGCATAGCAATGGAAGAAATAAGTAGAAGGCGTAAACAAAAATAGTTATTTTTTGCTCTCAACTAAATTGAGGCACCTAAACGATTTATGTTCTAGCCAACAGAGGGCGTAATTTATTGATCGTTGGGATTAACTCATAGCGTTCTGTTCGCATGTAAATCTGAACACAACACGTTGTAAATCTGATAGCATTACAATAAGACTCTTGTTAATAGTTCAAAAATAATTAGTGGCACTTAAGAGATTTATTCTAACAATATATCTTCGGATAAAGATGGATTGTAAGATGTGTTAAGGTTAGTTTAGCCGTCAAGAGGTTACATTTAAATTATGATATAGTTTGTTTACTGAATTTCCATGTTAATTATATTATATTTCTTTCTAAGTAAGAAAGATTATTGTAACATTGATTTTTAGGTAATAAATAGACATTTTAGATATTTGATAGATTGTAAATTATTCCAATTTATAGCGAAATCTGATAGAAATAATATCATTTATTGAATTTTCTTCTTTAGGCTTAATTTTCCTTTGTTTAATTCTGACAATTTTCTTGTCCTAACACATTTTTTTAAAATCTTAATGTCTTCTATTTTGTTCCAGAAATCGTAGAAGAACAACGTTGCTATGACAGCGAGATACGTCTCACATGTCGAGAACTTGACAGCCATATTGCGATTTTAGAAGCTTGGTATACATCCTTGGAGGACTATAACCAGGATGTGAATACGTCAGAAAACTATACTGTGAAAACCGAAAACGACTCAGAGTTAGATCGAGTGTATGTGTATTCTAGTCCTAAACACAACGGTGTGTACGAACTGAAGAATCATTCATTCGAAGTGAATGTGAATGAGAACGATACATTCAGTGAGGTGAATGAAACAATGAGTACAGTGGATATGAGGATTGAATTTGTGAACGGTAGTGATGTGTGCAACTTGTTGTCGTATACGAGAAGCTACGCGAGCTGGCACGATGGTGGCAGACGACGGCGACCTCTAGCGAGGGCAACGTCAATCAACCTGCGGCCACCACTCAGCTATCGGTGAGTTATCTTCGGTAACGTGTACAATCTCTTACAGTCTAATTACAAACTTTTACCGTCAGTCTAACGGTTGTTTAAATCTGTTGATTGCAGGAGATTTGAATCTGTTTTTATTAAGACAAATAGACTATCAATGCATGAAATAAAATCCACTAACTTACAGTTAAGCCAAAGATAAAATTCTCTGTATTCCCAATGCCAAAGTAACTTATGAACAACAATCAAAATCAAAATTGACAGTACCTCAAAAACATTACAAACTGTCTTTAAGCGGGCGCAAATAAACCTTTGACTAAACTATAACACAATTGTCGTGCGATTGTCGCTTGTTTCGCAGCTAATTTAACAGTTTAGTTTCAAAACTAAAAATCTAGAAGTGTGCACACATACATATAAGCTCATAGGAATTAAGGCGCGACTAATCAGTTGTGCGATATTTTAGTCAAAGCTGTGTGAGCACTAGAGAGCTAGTGCATTAAAATGCAGTTGTTTTTTAATAGTTAACAGCAATCATCATCAAAGATTTAAATGAAGAAACCGTTCTAATACTTTACAAATGCGGAATCATTAACCAATTATTTCATTTCAACGGGTTAGATTAATTTACATACGATGTGCGTACAAAGTTCGTCATAAAATTATCCAAATATGGCGTATAGGGCCGGGCTTGTAACGGTCCAATCGACCTCTTTGTGGCTGACGGCACCAATGTTTGTAGATGTAATTCGCTTTGATAAGCGCTTGTAAGAGTGTAAGATAATGTATCCAACATCTAATAAATATCCAAACAATAATCGAAATCTTTATCCCGCTATTCAAGATTGATTTTTACTTACAGTAATGTTACAATCTCCTTTAGGGCGAGCGCACACCTTTGATTATACTATCGCCCAACTGTTGTGCGATTGTCGATTGTTTCGCAGATACTTCAACTGTTTATTTACACAACAAAAATAGTGTAGTGTGCGCACCTCCATATAGGAAGCTCATAGGAAACAAAGCGCGACTAAATTGTCTGATAGTTTAGTCAAATGTGCGCGCGCTCAGCAAGAGGTCAGCAATCACAGCATATTTTCTAAATAACCTTTTTTTTTAATAAAAAGCCCTACACTTACGTCATGCTTTAGGCTACATATTTTCACGCCGTTAAACTTAGGGGGTAAATATTTTGGATAAAAGCCCTAACGTGGGAAAGAGACCATAAGTTGTTGCCAACATCAAGGAAGCAAGGTTGCTATGGTTTGACATCATATCTTGTCATTTTGACATTTGCAATTGATAACTTGACAAATGTGAATAATAAAATGATTTCTTTTATAATTTTATGCGGATGAAGTCGCATGGGAACAGCTAGTAAAAATATGAAATAGTAATAATAATCTCTGCAATATGAAAACTATGTATTAGAGTTTTAGCAACATAGCTATTGCAAGTATTGTTTAACTAGTTGCTTTATTAAAACAGCATTGATATCTCGACTAGCTAGAGTAAACAATTAACAACGATCGATTCCACACGTTACACTTTCCTTTCCCACTAACCGGTAGTTTATTGGTTCGTTAAAAAGGGAAAACCTCCTCAATATATCATTAACAAGTCGACTAGATCGCTTTCATTCAGGGCTGTGTTGCTTTCTAGAGATAACGTAACACTCTAGGGTTGCCAATTTCAATTTGGACAATAATTAAGTCGGTGAAAATACGATAATCAGCGACTTGACTTTAACTCTAGTCTCTATAGAGTATGACAAAAACATTTTAGCAGACGACAAAAAAAAAAGTATTTAATGGCTGATTTTTAACAATCACAGAGAATACAATACTCTGAACCGATGTGGAAACTAAATATGCTCCACTCACATTTAAGAATTCGAGTCATAAAGTTGACAACCCTAAACACATGTTTTATTAATAAACATATAATTTACTTGTGCGTCATTTTATTCTAGGGTTATCACATATTTGGGGCAATGAGATTAGAGATGCAATTGTTTTTGGACCATTGTCTATTGACGTTCTTATCTTGCGGTACTCTGTGTCATTTATTGTTTATTTTATGAAAATAATTGATGGTCATATACAACTTTGTTAATACTGATGTTTAGAACAACAAAATACTATATTTTATCCGTGACTTTACTCTCTTGGAATTAAAAGCTTAGTAGCCTTCATCTAAATTATGTTTTTCATCTGTGTCGAATTTCAACGAGATCCGTTTAGCTGTTCTGATACATACTCGTAGTTACATCCATCCATCCATCCAAACTTTCGCATTTATAATGTTAGTTAGTCTTTTATTATGGGACTTGATAGTTAGTTATAGCAAGTAACATGTATGTATAATTTTGTATAATTTATTCATCTGTTTTCCATTGATTTTAATAATTTACGTATATGTTTTTAACGTTTACATGATCGGAATGTAAACGAATTCAATTCATGTATTTCATATTAATGTTGCTTTTTATGTTAATTTATTTATATTATTGATATTTTACATTCAAAATGACCAAGATTTCACTTAAAATCTATAGGAAATGCGACATTAAGTCCCAAGTATAAGTTACCTAGACATAAAAGAATATATCATACTAGATTCTGCTCGCGGTATCGTGCATGCGGTTTGTAATGGTGAATATTTTTTTTAAATCAGTTCAGTAGTTCAGGAGCCAATCCAATGTAAGCCAACAAATTACTCTTCTTTGTAATAGTTAATATATCACATACCCCATCTAATATTCTTAATCAAATGTTCTGTCCAATAAACTTCATTTCCTTGTCCTCGCCCGTCAAACAACGTGCGATCGTCATCATTTCCACTTCTTATTGACTTTATTTTTAAGCCAACAATGACGCAACTTTCTGTCTGGATGTACCAATGTCAAATGGTAGATTGACTTTGATCTGTTGTCACTATTTCTGTATTTTTAACTGATGGTTGTAGATGTTGCTATAACAATTTTGATGGTCAATAATTCTTAAATAAATAACAAGATTGACGCATTGAAATAGGCCTTGGTTATTGATTTCATTAACACATATTTTTAACTAGCTGTCGTCCGCGACTTCGTCTGCATGGAATTAAAAAACAAAAGCAAGTCTTCCAGACTTTGCTTATTTATGCTAAATTCTATCCAGATCCGTTTAGGCTACAAAGTCTATCAAGCATTCATCCATCTAAACTTTCGCATTTGTAATAATAGTAAATTTTATGGAAGTCAAAGAATTGTCAGAATACAACTATAGTCAAACAAGGATGTCTAGCCTAGTGAGACTAGGTTGTGCATACAAAGTGGGGGCGCTAATGAGCTGTTCTAATTTAGTTGCACTGATACCTACCAGGTCAGAGACCTTCTAGTCTATGTAAACAATTTACGCCAAAACAATTGACAAGCTGACAATCTTATCCATTACGCGGTTATCAAAGAAACATTTCAAGCATTCAATATAAAGGAGTCATTGAATATCAAATGATAGCGAGTGGTTGACCTATAATGGGCTGTAAGTATAGCGGCTAATGAAGCGTTTGTTGAAGATTTATAGCAATCGTGGTTAGCGAGCGAGATGAGATGAAAGACGGATTCATTTAATCTTATGCTAGTTTCACACGAGGACCGAACATTCAGATTTGAACTACGGCATCCTATGGTGATTTTAAACTTCAAAAAATATTACGACACTTTCCCGCGCGGTTTTATCCGCAGGAAATAATAACAACTTTATTTTATTACTTACATTTGTCAAATGTCAAAATTCAAACAAATGACAACCTTGCTTTCGTGATGTTGGCAGCTTGTAATTTATGGTCCCTTTCCCACATGATGGCTTGTCCGATTTATTTACCCCTTAAGTTTTAAAGCGTAAAAATACATAGCCTAAAGCGTGTCTGTGTAAAGAAAGAATTATTCAAAAATATGCTGTTGATATCCTACGCCACGTAGTAGTGTTTACGTTTCATTATAACTATTAGTATAGAGTATAGATAAATTGCTTTGATAGGCGAAAACTTGTATTGCGTATTTACCTCAATTCTGTAGGAATCAACAGATTTTTGATTAACTTTCTTTTACCAGAGATGCATTTTTTATTCACTTTGTTGCGTAAAATATCCACGGTTGATTGATAATTTATAGAAATCGATTAGTTAAGCTTTTATTAGATTAATGGAGAAACGTTGGAAATGATGCGACAATGGCTTGTTAACTGTCTATGGCGTGTCACGCTGTGCTGACCGAATTAGGAATTAGTTAACTAGTGAATTCACATTGATGAAAGGTTCTAAATTTTTATACTATCGTGTTTGAAAGTTTTCATAATAAACTCTATACTCTCTCTAAATATAAACTAGTTTACATTTTTTTTAATTCAGACTTTTTTATTTTATTTATTTATACAAAACACAATATTACAGTTCACTTATAATTTTTGAAATACATTTCACATAAATTGTTTTAATTAAAAAGTTTTCACAAAATAAACCCGCAATAAAAGCCAGTTTGCATATTCGGATATCTATGGAGTCACTAAGTTAATTGTTTCAAGAAGATTAAGGGCCTGTCCCACCACTGGCTGATAGAGGCAAAGGTAGCTTAAAAATGACGTTACTGTCAGATAAAGTAACAAAATCCGATATTTCCATCGCATGTTTGCTACGTTGGATTGTTATCAGCCAGTGGTGGGACAGGCCCTTAGGATTCCAAAATATGTCAACTTAACATCGATATGATAGGCATACAAAAGTTTTTTTATGTAACACAAAATATTGTCACAAAACAGCGATATTAAAAATCATTTAAATTCATACATTTAAATGATTCGACATTAAAACGAGCTGGCATTTTGCCAACGCAAATGTTTGTGGATGTTTAAAACTAGCAATCTTTGTTGTTCGCAGAAGGAAGTTCACGTTATCTGTAAATATAGACTGCCACTGAAATAGAAGTTACAACTCCACCGGATTTACGCGCGGGACGTTAAAAAACAAACAATCGAAACGAAATT